GGTACTATATAAATATAAATTGTATTGCATCAAAATAAAAACAAAACACAGAATATCATAGAATATACTGTGAAGTGAATTGACTGTATATTTTGTGGGCGAAATATACAGTCAATTCACTTTACAGTATATTCTGTGAAGCTCTTTGAGACGTCTTGAAGACGTGATAAGACACAGTACCAAATGTAACGATTATTATTATTATTAGAAGAATGTGTGTACAGATAGAATATCAAATTACAAGGACATTTCACAAGGTAACAAGAGGGGTTCAGATGAAAAAAGCCTTTTGGCCCATTTGATTTCATCCTTTCAGAATACCCATCCTACCATCACCCCATTACAGCATCAATCTGTTTCTTAATGAATCTATTCTATGGCTTCTTCTGTCCATAGGATTAATATAAATAAACCTCTATAATTCTTGGAATTATCAGACATCACTCAAATCCTCTGATTTAACTGCAATGCAATTAAAGGAGGAGTTAGCACCAGCGCAACATATTGGGCCAAATGGTATCCTCTGTGCTGTAAAGTTTCTATGTTTCAATGAGAGGTGGAACAATGCAATTGAGAGATGGATAAATACCAGATTCCATTCACTCCTGCTATGGAGCCTGGACAGCTGCATTAAAAGCAATCCATAGTTTGCAAAATGTAAATTAATAAAATATTCTTGGCAGAAGCAGATAATACCAGAAAGATGTGAACATTTTATTTGCAAAATGTTGACCCAGTCAAGCAACTCAGACTATAAGACACCCATGTGTAAAGTCACAGATGCACAGATGGTTCAAGCTCCACAATGGGACTTGGGATCCATGCAATCTTTGCTGACCCTTTAGTGCAGTCCTGGGGATGTGTTGCATTGTCGGAGGTGTCATCTTTCGGTGAGATGTTAAAACAAGTTCCTGCCTGCATGTTCAAGTGGATATTGAAGATCCCAAAGCACTACTCAAAAGGAAGGGAGTTTCTCCTGGTATCCTGGCCAACAATCCCCAAAATAAAATTGGTTACTCATTACATGGCTATTTGTGGGACACTACTGTGTGCAAATTGACTGCAGGTTCATCCACAAAATATATCACTTTACTCTGTAAAGCGCTTTGAGATGTCTTGATGATGTAATAAGGCATTATGTCCAATGGAAGGATTATTATGTTTTTTTACACACCTTTCTAAAATGTCAAAATTCATTCTCAAAGTCTCCTTATTTATTAATCTAAACAAATGCAGATTTCTTCCCTTCCCACAATAACAATTGTAAACTAAAAGTTTCTTTCGGACAATTTGTTTGACAAATATCAGGATGAAATTAAGCAAGCTTGAAATTCCAATCCATTCAGGTATCAGCTTCAGTTACAAAAAAAAAGATCCTATAATAACCCTTGCATTCGATATAGAGAGGGTATCGGATGCATGACGGAGGGTGGCTGAAGGCATGGTCGAAGAGATGTTTTGAGACAGGCTTGAAGGAGGTAAGGGAGGGGGTGAGATGGAGGTATTCTGGGAGTGAGTTCAAGAGGATGGGGGTAGAAAGGCTGAAGGCCCAACCACTTATGGTGGATGGGGTGGGTGAGGGACATAGAGCAGGTGCTTACTTGATGCATACAGGAGGGAGAAAGGAATGGAGGTGTATGAGAGAGTGCTTCACAAGGATTTGTGTCAAATGTAGTGATTATGGGTTTGCAAACAAACATGGCTGCTGCTTTGCACACATAAAGGTTACCAGGTAGCCATGAAGTGAATGTCAATGGTATCTGGAGGATTATTGGTCAGGATACTTGAAAGATGCTCCCTGCTCATTTCAATAGTAATATAATAATAATAATCCTTGCATTGGTATAGCGCTTTTCATGTCTTCGAGACATCTCAAAGCACTTCACAGAATATACTGTAAAGTGAATTGACTGTATATTTGTGGGCAAAACGTGGCAGCCAATTGCGCACAGCAGTGTCCCACAAACAGTTGTGGATTGAGTGACCAATTTTTTTTAAAAAAGGATTATTATCCCCAGAAAAGCGATCCGCCAATCGACTAACAACTGGGTTCCTACTTACTGCTAGGTAAACAGGCATGTGGAGTAAGGAAACTTGGCTAACATTTCACCCTGCCAGGAATAGAACCCAGGTCTCTCGCTTGCGAGGCGAGTGCTCTAACTGCTGAGCTACAGGACTAAATAGCTGGAATGTTAACAGTATTAGGTCTTTCAGTTGGATAAGAGAGGCATGTACTTTTGATTTTAATGCTTTGTACCTGTGACTGATAGTGCTGCAAAACTGCTAACATTCACCTGAAAAGGATGAATGAGACCTCAGCTTGAAGTCTTATTTGAGGGACAACGCATCAGCTTAGGGTGTGACCTCAAACTTCTGACGTGTGTTTTGAACCAGAGTTGAGTGTGCTACTAACTGAGCGAAGCTGGGACATATGAGCGAAACTTGAAGTTGGTATTTTTACATGAAGTTTCCCTCCATTACTCTTGCCTCCAGGTTTCTTTTTCCTGTATCCAGTCTAAAAATAAAGAGATTCATTCTTATTTCTAAAGTGTATTACCTCACAATTTGATACATTCAGTTCCATCTGGCAACATTTTACCCAATGAATTAATTTGTACATTCATTAACAATGCTCTGCTTCCTTCACAATTTATTACAATTACTAATAAATAATTTAAAAAAAACTGCTGAATAGAATTTGGTGTGAATTGAAAGCCTTATTATCTTCTGATGTATTTAGGACAAATGACCACCAGGTGAATGATCAGTTAAGCTAGCTGTCGAGGGTATTGGGAGAATCCCCTTTTCTTTTCAAACAGTGGGGGAGAGGTAAGCTGATCTCCTTGGAGCTGAGCTGACGTGAGGGTTTACACGCTTGGCAATAAGTGTATGTTGGAAATGACTCAACACTCTGTGGTAGCCTCAGTAGTCTGTTTTCAGAGCAGGGTGGGTCCACAGTAATGCAGGGAACTGCTGACGACAGATCAGCTAGCCTGGCTCCTGAGGCACAAATTGGGGGAAGAGACTGTGAACCATTGTTGAGACAATGCAACCTCTGACAGTGCAATTCACCTTCAGCACTGCAACAACAACAACAAAATTCCATTTGTATAGCACCTTTCATGTCAGGAGGACATCTAAAGGTACAGAATAATCAGTGTTTCGGACCAGAGCTGCGAGTTGGGATTGGGGAGGGTGGAGGGCAGGGGGAGAAGGAGGGTTATCAAAGACACGGTCAAAGAGGAGGGTCTTGAGACGGATCTTGAAGCAGGTAAGAGAGGGGGCGAGGCAGAGGGACTGTGGGATAATAATAATAATAATAATCCTTGCATTCGATATAGCGCTTTTCACGTCAGGAAGACGTCCCAAAGCGCTTCACAGAATATACTGTAAAGTGAAGTAACTGAATATTTGTGGGCGAACGTGGCAGCCAATTGCGCACAGCAATGTCCCACAAACAGTCATGGATTGAAAATGACCAATTTATTATTGTTTTTGGTTTCGGAGGGATTATTATTAGGTGTGTGGAGTAAGGAAACTTGCCCAAGGTTTCGCCCTCTGCCTGGAATTGAACTCAGGTCTCTCACTTGCAAAGTGAGTGCTCTAACCACTGAGCTACAGGACTCCACGATGGTGTTCCAGAGCATGGGGCTAGAGTGGCTGAAGGCCCACACACCAATGGTGGGGCGGGCGAGGTGGGGAGCATGAAGCAAGCCGGAGCCCGTTGAGTGCGAAGGTTGGTAGGGGGTTAAGGAGGTCACAGAGGTAGAGGGGGAATAAGGCCGTGGAGTGCTTTGAAGGTGAGGACCAGGATCTTTAATGGTATCCTCTGTGTGATGGGAAGCCAGTGGAGTTGGGTGAGGATGGGGGTGATAGGGTCACAGAGCCTGGTGCGGGAGAGGACACGGGCTGCAGAGTTCTGGATGATCTGCAGCCTGTGGAGGGAGGAGATGGGGAGGCCGACAAGCAGGGAGTTTGCATAGTCGAGCCTGGACGTAATGAGAGCATATACGAAAGTTTTGGCCGCCTGTGGCGTGAGACAGTGTCGGAGCCAGGCGACGCTGCGGAGGTGGGGGAAGGCAGAGCGGGTCATGGCAGGGACGTGGGGTAGAAAGGATAGTTGAGGAACAAGACGCCAGGGTTCCGGACTGGCTCAGTGAGGTGGAGTGTGCAACCACGGAGGGCGATCCTGTCAGCGCCTGAGGTGTGGAGGCGCTGACGGGAGCCAATCAGGAGAGCCTCGGTCTTGTTGAGGTTCAGCTGTAGAAAGTGAGCTCTCATCCAGGACTTGATGTCTGACAGAGATATCAAGTGTGCACAGGGCTGTCAGTCTAGACAACTGCCCACAAACTGTTAAAACGGTGCAAAATATAGTTCTGCCCTAATTGAATCAGATGTTGACGCAGGTGTGACTGTTCCTCAGTGTCACCGTCACACTCACACACAGGGTGTGAGAACGCGTGACGCGTCACACCGGCTCATTTGCATATTTTAAAAAACGTGACGTCACGGGGACTTCGGACCCAATTGCCATGGAGGACTGGTGTTGGGGGAGGGGGGGGGGAGAGTGCGCCGAGCGGCCAATCAGCATGTTTCAGAGCCCAGCCGACAGCGTGCGTCACGCACCACCCGGAAAACCCGCCCCCTTCCCTCCGTCCGCCGCGGAGATTCGGATCCGAAACAGTCACGTGCTCACGGCGACCCTCCTGCCAACGGCGCTCGGCCGTTGAGCGGCACGCGGGCGGAGTGATTGACGTGGCCACAGACCAGTCGGAGCGCGGTGGCTGGCGGACGGCCCGTGCCGTGGGCGAAGAGAATCGAAGGCGGGCCAATGGGAAGGGTCGGGAGGCGGCGAGCGGAGGCGGGATGCGGTTTCTCGGACAAGTTGGATGTCAGTCAGTCGTCAGTCGGTCAGTCGTATGCCCCACAGTTACCCTCTTCGGTCGCCCTGGCGGTTGTTGCCTCAGAGGCTCGGGGAGACAGGAGAGCGCGAGAGGGGGGCGGGTGAGGCAGAGAGAGGCGACCATGAGTGGGACGTCGGACTGATCGATGCCGGAGGGGCCAGTTCAAGATGGCGGCGGCGCTCGCTGAGGATCAACGGTACGGGCTGTCCTGTGGCAGAGCGAGTGGGGGCCCCGGCAGAGTCACCGTCTTTCACGTCAAATTGACAGAGACAGCCTTCCGAGCGCTGGAAGCCTTTCAACATTCAAAGGTGGGGGGAGCAGATTGACCTTTTATTTCTCCCCACATTGTATTCCTCATCCGCTGCTCTTATTTTCATTGGAAATCCAACAGCAAGTGGCTGCCCAGTTCATGTGTCAAGTCGGTTACTTGGACGGGTTTTTAAAAAATTTTTTTTAACACTTTTAACACTTTTTCCAAAAATAATGGGCATTTATCCTTGTTTAACGTCACAATTTATGGTTTAGATTTTATGTGGTCGGGGTGGGGAGAAAGTTATTTTTTAAAGAAGAGCCCGAGTCGCAGCTGTGACTCCTTTTTTTCGCTGAGCAATGGAGTTTTTTTTCCACAAAAAATAATTTTATTTGCTTGAAATGGTATTGAATGTATTGCTAGCGCTGTCTCTAGATCTATTTATTTTAACCAATGCACTTTTTTAAAAAAAAATCCACTCCACAGCCAACGTAATAAAACTTTTACCATCTGAGGTTTTCCTCTGAATAAAACTGGATTTGGTTGTCGATGGCGATATCTGCTGCTGCTACTCTGTATTTGAATGTTAAATTAAATATGGCTTGCCATATGTTTTTTTTTGGAGAGTATGTAACTTTCAGGATATTCACATATCTTCCAGTAGAGGTATACAAGTACATACGTGTGAAGTTAGTAGGTGGCAGTGTTGGTGTGTCATTGGATTTTTGACTTACTGTAATAAAGAGAACATTTTATGCTTTAAGTGGATGTGGCTGATTCACTTTAATAGGAGTATATCCGAGTGCATACGTACGTGACGTGTTTGGTGGTAGGGATTAGACTGGGTTGAATAGATTTTGTGTTAACTGTCTCACACAATTGCAAGAAATTACATTTACATGTCGCTGTAGTTTTAGGCTCTGTTTATGTGTCCATTAGGAAATTCTTCGAATTATGATGAGTAATGAATGTCAGATTAATCCCTGATTGGGATTTAGGAATTGAAGATTTTTTTTAAAACAAATGAATTCCTGTTATGGAGATTTTGAATTTGGGATGTGCTTACCTAGTAGTATTAATGAAATGAGGTTGACATTATCAGATGCCAGCAAGCCAGAGTAGTTTAATTTAGGTGAATACACAGTCGTCTACTTCCCTTTGCCCACCCCCTCCATACACACACACGCTACACAAAGTGGGTTTCTCTTCCTCAGTCCCCTCCCATATCTCCTACTTAGCTACATTATTTCTTGTATTTGATATAGTTGCACCATATTGATGTTAATTCTGTATGTGTAATCAATCATCATTCGTTATAGGGATTTTCAATACAACTGGAAGATGCTGCGGAACTATTCTGTTGCAGTTGCATTCATTTGTTTTTATTGAAGTAGAAAAGAAACTTGATTTTTCAAAATCAAAATTGTGTGTTTAATTTTGTAATTGTAAAAGTATCAAGATTTGTGTTAAATTGGAATAACTTAATAGTTTGTGGTTGAGCTTTAAGTAATAAGTGAATTATGAATAATTTATCTGTCTGATTATACTAGCTGCACTGACCTGTCCAGATGCCTGCCAGATCCAGGGTTAGAAATTAGTCAAGTCCATTTAAACAGAGCAGAGACCATGTCAAGCTGTCAGTCTCTTTCTTAATTTCTAAAAGACATTCTTTGGTTCATAACAAAAGAGTCACGTATGGTCTTTTAAAGGGTTGCTATGCTTTTATTTGCATTGCTTACAATCTACTTTGTTTAAACCACACTTCAAGTTGATGTTATTTGAGGCTGTTATGAGTGGTGGAGAAAAAGAACTGAAGTTCTAGTCAGCTGTGCATTGAGTAGGTAAACCTACTCAGGTATATGTTTGAAATCACTAATTATATTATATGTTGCATGCTGCAGCTATGTGCTGGCCTGTGCTGATTGGGGGTGGGGGCGGGGGTTCTCTCAGCAAACTATCTGAGTTTCGCTTTGGGGATGAAGTACTAGGTTAGTGGTTCAATTTGAGGTGGTTACGGTAAATTACAATTTAATTTAAAAGGGTGCTGTATTGCACTTGAAGATAAACTGTGGCAGTCAGCATAAAGTAAATTCTGTGTTCTGTATGTAATCAGTAAATTATCTAGTGACATTGAATTCTAATGAAGGTATATTTTTCGATTGGCCCCCTTCTGTGCATAAAATATATTTGTTGATTAGTTTAGTAAAGATTTCAGTTAGTGCAGTATTTATAACAAGTTGAGACTGCCATCTTGGTGCATTTGGCAGCACACTTATCTCAGGGTTAGAAGGTTGTGAGTTCAGATTCCTTAAGTTCAGAATTTAGCCTGATACCATTACAATACTGGGGGAGTTTTATATTGTCAGAGGGCCATCCTTTCCAATAAAACATGAAGCTATGGTCCTGTTCAGGTCAGTGTTGAAGATTGTGTGATGGGTAGAGAAGGACGTTTATCCTCTTTGTTTGGTCAACAATCCATCAGATTAATCATACCTAGTTTGCCGAACATTGTTGGTGCATTGTTTGTATACTTGATTGTAAATAGTTATGCAGCTTTTGAGTTTTGCCTTAAGGTCCTATAAATATGCAAATTGTTCTTTTATTATCCATAAGTTACTTCCTTTTTCCCTTGATTGGCTCTTGCCTCTGAATACTGTTTTCTTGGAAATATCTGGAGACTCTAGGTTGATGTTATGCTGTGATTAAACACAATTTGGCATATAAACCTTTATTCTCAGGAGTCATCTTTGCTTCTATCAGGAAAAGGTAGTTGTGTGGTGAGTAACAGAGGATGAGAGGTTTTGTTTCAGCCCCCACCTCCCCCAAACCACAAGAGGCGTGCAACTTCTATTGGCCAGCTTTATTATCAATACAGTGTGGTCATGCAAACTTGCAGTCGCGGGTTTATTTGCGAAATCGCTCTCAACCACTAAGCCGATTAGAACTGCACCGGCAATTTTCATCCCTGATAATTTTTATGCACGTCTCCAATGATTTTCATTTATTGTACTGGTCTAATCTTGTTACTGTCTGTGCAAAGTTTTGTGCAAAAACAGTGTTCTTAAATGTGATTTGTCAAATGTACAGAAATAAATGAAAACCATTTGAGATGTGCATATGCCTATATTACCTTTATTTTTTTACACGATTAACTAAGTATTTTTAAGAAAACCTAGCACTGTGGCCACCAGAACGTGTTGGTCGCCGCACACTGAGGCCACTAAAAAAATTATCTGGGTGCCATTGAATCGACACATCAATATAATGTATACTGACTGGTTTCATCTTTGATACTCCTACTTTGGTAATGCATTGTTGCATGTTTATCATCCAAACTCTTGGTAGTTGAACAATTCCCCTTTCATGAATAGCATTTAGATTATCTTGTCAACTAGTTTGGTTTGGATAACTCAGACTGGATTTAATTGGATCTAATTTGAATTTATTCTTCCTCCTGTTCATGGTTTTATTCACCCTAAATCTGAGAACTGTATATAGCAAGCAGAATGGAGTTACAAAACCCAAGAATGTGCTTGCATGTGGTGAAAGTAAAGATGGTTTTGAAATTAATGGTTTATAACATTTGTATTGTGATATGGTGGGATTAATTCAATCTAAATATGCAGTGACGACATCTGCACACTATTTTTAATGATTCTTGGATTTAATATAGCACCTTATCACATTAAAACATTGCAAAGTGCTTGTTTTTCTGTAAAGTGTGGGGATTGTGTATTTTGTAGGCAAATCCAGCAGCCAATTTGCAGATTCCCACAAACAGCCATACATAGTGATTAAATATGGAACAAATCTATATTGCTACTTGTTGTGGACAAAATCAATGCCTCCACTGGTATGATTAAATAATTAATATTATTAATAATAAGTGTTGCATTTCATATCAAGAGAACTTCTCAAAGGGCTTCAAATGGTAGCGTTAGTGTAGTAACTATATGTTGTAGGCAAAATTGATCTGATATCTTGTGCTTTATTGAACATGCAGCAGTGTTAGTGGTAATTAGCTTTGGTTAAAACAAATTCAGCTGAGTTGACAGCATTTGAGACTCTGAAATTAGCTTTCTCACTAGAAATTTATAAGGCAGTTTGGTCGAAAATGCAGAATAACTAGGTATTTTGCCATGTGTACAGAGGTTGTCAGAATATCGTGTTTTACAAGGTATTGTGAAATTCATCCTATTTATTCTTTTCGGCTTGATTCGGGTAAAAATCACTTATGTATTGCCTTAGCCACTTAACACTATCTATCATAAGTGACACAATTGTGGTTTCTGGTTTAGAGCATGGGAAGAAGGATTTACCCATTGAAATGCAACAATATTGCCACATCCTTAATAATACGTTGTGCATTGAAATAGAAAAAATACAACTTGGGAATTCCAATTTTCTGGTTTGAAAGTTATACATTAATATTTTGAATTGTTTTTGTGTTCTTGAAGAACCTCTGTAGTCAAATCTGAATTAAAATGTTGAGTGACTGTATAAAATAATCTGATGTGAATTTAATTTTTTTTAAGTTTGTCATTCTATGCTGCCTCCTACTTCTTGCCAGTTGTTCTCTGGTGATAACGGCTAGGATCTACAGTAGTTTTAGCTTACACAACATTTAGGTGTGAGCTGCAGTATTTGCAGCCTGAGCACTGACCCTAATAATAACCCTTACATTTTGTGTAGCACCTTTCACATCAGGAGGACATCTCAAAGTGCTTCACAGAATATAGTATAAAGTGGACTGTGAGTGATTATGAGTGACTGAGGAGTGTGTTTTGTGGCAAACGCGGCAGCCAGATTTGCGCCAGGCAGTGTTCCACAAACAGCCACAAATGACCAATATTATTTGGGGAAGTGTTGAATGCAAGGACACTGAGAAACTCGCTTTTTGATAATATCATGGGATCTTCAAAGTCCACCTGAACAGGCAGACAAAACCTTTGTCTAATGTCACATCCGCAGGATGGTATCTCGGGAGAGTGCAGCCACTCTCAGCACTGCAATGGAGTGTCAACCAAGAATCTGAGTTCCAAGCTGCAACGTGATGCT